GAGAGAGAGAGAGAGAGAGAGAGAGAGAGAGAGAGAGAGAGAGAGAGAGAGAGAGAGACATGAACGTAAAAAGAGACAGGGGAAAAAGAGATAGGGTAGGGGAAAAAATGAGAGAGAAGGAGACTTTGAGAGATAAAAAAAAAAATGGAAAAAGATAGTGACGGGGAGGAGAGGAAAAAAAAAAAAAAAAGTTTCACACGCACTAGTGCATCAAGTCTTGTTTTTTTTTTTTTTTAATCCAATAATCAATCAATGACCAATCAACTAACAAGCAAGAATGTATCCTATACATGGGACTAGGCATGTGAGACTGCGTTTCAAACCTTTAAAGAGGCATTAGTGAGTCATCATGTGCTTCGCATTGAGTCAATCAATCAATGAAAGAGTTGGTGATCCAAAGTACGTAAAAAACAAAATAGGCAACCACAGTATCCTCGACCTATTGCGCGATCAAACCTATAAGAATAAAAAATAAAATAGATTTTTTATTATTATAATTCGGTAAATAATTTTGATGTGACCCCAAGACCAAAGTTATTTAATTTATTTTTTTTTGCAGAACATACTAGGCTACCAGAGGGGCCCGGGGTCACTTGCCCGGTTGGGCAAAAATAATTAAAATAAATAAACATAAATAAAATATTTTTCAATTTTATTTTTTATTTTAAATTTGATGAAGAATTTCGATGTGACCCTGATGCAAAAGTTATTCAATTTATTTTTTTGCATAACATAGTTGTTTTTCAAAATTTTTGGATTGTTTTTTTTTTTTTTTTTGCTGGGACCTTCCTGATCCTTGCACGGGCTGGCCACTCGGGACCCGGGCGGCCCGGCTGGTAGCCTAGAGAACATAGTGTTTTTTTTTTGTTTTTTTTTTTTTTAGGTTTATTTTTTTTGCTTGGTCGGTCGAACGATTTTCCAAGGCGGGGTGAACATTCATCTGTTTGGATAAACAATTGAAAAATTTTATAACATTGATGAAATTATTTTTATTATTAGTTTTTTAAAATCGTCGTTTTCTTACACACGGTTATAGAAATCGTCCTTCTATTCTGGGTCATAAGATACGCTACCAAAAAAAGTATTATAAATTTTGGGTTATGGATCGGGTTTTTAAGACATTTTGGGTTATGGATCGAGTTTTTAAGACATCATTATAAAAACTTAAGATAACTCGAGAATTACAATAAAACAGCTACAATTTTATAAAGTTTATATGATAAATTTTTGAAATGTTTCATATTTTTTCTTTATATGGTTTTATAAATTAACTTTATTAGATTAATCATAAGGTAGGTTACACGAAAAAAATAATATTTTATAAAAGTTGTATGCCACATGTCGGGTTTTGTATATATCATCATTAAAACTTAAGGTATTTAAAAAATTATAATAAAATGATTGCGTTTTTGTAAAATTTCTTTGATAAACCTTTGAAATGCTTCATATGTTAAGGGTCTAATTTTTGTTATTAACTTAAAATGCAAAAAAAATAAATGTAATTTTTTTTTTTTGCATCTAGCTAGATTCTCTCTTTGAACATATATTTTAAATAAAAAAATATTTTTATATAAATTTATAGTATGTTGATTCGAAATTTCGTACTCAATGAATAAATAAACAATATTAACAGAAAATATATATTAAATAAAAATAAAAATAAAAAATCATATAAAGCCTTTGCATGTATATTCTATATTTTAGCTTGTAAAATTTTGCAATATGGTACAAACCCAAAAAAAAAAGCTATGAGCTAATTAATTAAAAATTATATTTCGTTTTATTTTTACATTATTTCACTATTTTTTGTGTGTTATATTAAGTAATTGTTTTTGTAAATTTTATTTTTAACCTGAAGGATTGAGCATATTGATTGAAAAAAAAACGTAGGCCCTTAGGGTTGCGTTTCTTGTACCCCACAAAAGTCAATTTATTTGTTTATCCTATTTTATACTACGTGGACCATTTTTCGATCTTTGTTTGTTATCCTCGTAAACGACTATGTTTATTTTTTCCATAATTTTCCAACTCCAACGATTGCTTAAAAAAATTGAGTAGCTTGATTGCATGATGTTCAAGATTGACAAGCGATTGACTTAAAAATTATTAAGTTAATTTTTTTGTGCATTGAACTATTGCAGGTAAGCGCGACTTGGGTTTGCACTGGAGAAAGTTTCATAGGTACGGTCCTTGCACTCGTGGATTGACTAGGTGTCATTGGGCTGCGCCCTAAGTTTTCTGTCAAATATGTTAGCACATACAACATTTTCAAAAAAGTAACACTCGTGCTACGACCGTGTGTGAAAGGTGTAAACTTGATCTATAAATGATCAGGTTAATGTTTTTCTCGTGTGAACATAAAACCCAAGTGTCCTAGCCGTTCAACTCCAGGTCCAAGCTGTTGGTCTCTACACTCTACGATCATAAATGAAAATTTTATGGCCACTGTTGTCTCTACTGACAATTATGATAGAAAAATTGTAGTGCACAAATAGTGCTTGAACCTGAAGGCAAGGGGCCTGGGTGCAATGGTTACGAAGATAGTGGCATATGCATCGCGACATTGTAGCTCTTCAGTCCAGGGGCTGGTAAAGCCATAGTTAGGACCCATGGGTGAACCCCCACGCTCCCCCCCGGAAAGGGCCAATAATCTTTCTTCGGCATGGGTGGGGGGTCGACACTTGGAGCAAAATGGTTGGTGGCAACATTTTATACGAGGCCCACACCAGTTCTTTTGTTTTTGGGTGTGCAGGGAGTTGTTTTTTGGGGGGGGAAACTATTTGGGAGTCACAAAAATGAGTTATAATTACGCTACGGGCCAAGATACGATTTCGAATTGCAGTTTGGGCAATGTATACAAGCCAACTTTCTGGCCAGGTAGGGTGCCCAAAGTGCAACTACAAACTGTAGCTTGCCCCGTTGTGCAATTATAACTTGTTATAAAAACTAAGCTATATTCTTTCCTCAATCTATCGACGTAGTCATCTTTCTCATGTATCCCATCCTCTTGCTAGTCTATGTATGTATAGTACGGGAAACACCAACCAACTCGGATCTCTCGCCAGCCCACGGGGTAGGTTTGCACCACAGGAGTGGTGCGAGATTAAGGCTGTACCAGCCTTTCATCATGGTGATGCGGGGTGGGCAGGCATTGCCAATGGGGAAACCGGCGGTGTTAGTGCCGAGCACTATGGCCAGTCACTGCACCTCCCCCTCCCCCCACCAACCCCACATTAGTGGTGTCTAATGGCAAATATAGTTGCTGCATAGCAACCAACAACATTGGCCAAGGTCCTGCCAATGCTGGCTTGGGGAACCAACAGGTTATCTTATCTCTAGCTGGTAGAACACCAAGCTTGCCCAGTCACGTATGTGAGGCCAGTGGGGATTGAACCCACGACCTCCTGAATGCAACTTTCGTGCCTTACCAACTGAGCTAGGCCCGCCCCAGGCAAAAGTGACCCTGAAGTACTGGTGGCAAAGCAAGGCTATACTGGCTACTGATCCGACAGTACTTACGGTAAGTAAAAATATGAGTTTCGGGGGATCCCACTTCTTTCCGTATGAGCTGGTCGCGGCGCAGGTGGTGGGAGGGTGTGGAAACAGTTTCCATCGTGGCAGCTCGGGAGTGATCGCCGGCGCAAGAATCTGTCCCGTTTTCCAAGAGAAGCCAACCCGACCCTGCCCCTAGAAAGCTGGAGCAGCTTTTTGTTATTGTTTTTTTGTTTTTTTTTCCCCGTCACTCCCTCCTTTCCTCCGTTGATCTGCCACCCTCCCACATTATTGGGCCGGGATGCCTGTAAAAGGGCCATTCTTTTCGGCGTTGTGGGATGCGATTTTCCTTTCACGGTCCAATAGGAACGGGCCCGACTTTTCGGTTTCTTTTAGGTTCTCTTACGTTTGAAGTACTGTCGGATCAGTAGCCTGTTATACCACCAGTACTTCCTAGAGTCGTGCCGGTTAACGCGCCACACTTTTAGGAAACGTACGGGCTACTACAGGAGCGCCCAAATTCATCCGACTAGAAACGTTTCTACTCTATTTTTTGGGCGGCCTATAGCTGGGCCAAGTACTGGTGGTATAAAAAGGCGTCTTCACAGCTGTGAAGCAAAGGCTATAAAATGGGGTCAACCAAGGCTGTGTGACCGAATGGCACACCAATGAACTGTTTACAGGCTCTCGAGTCCTCGTACAATCAGTGGAATGAAGCAACTCAGGAGCCGGTCAGTTCGACAATGATACCGCCCGTCACATTATTGCAAATACTCGTCTGGCTGATCTAGGTCTCGAACCTACCTACCTTCTTCCCCCGAACACAACGCACCCTTATTTGGGCTGTATCTGGCCGGTATCTGGCCGGAAATATAGCTTATACGTTCATTTTTAGTGTGCGTTATGTTCGGGGAAAGAAGGTAGCCATATGTGTCTACCATTCAGCTATGTGTCTGTACCATTCAGCTATGAATGGGCCAGTCGTATTATACGGAAAGCATACAAGCAAGGCTATTATCGGCGGACGGTGGTCTGGTAACGTTGACATCAGGCGGCTCAAGCTTGTCGAGGCTCCAATAATCGATCTCTGACATCTTGCAGGCTGGAAAGTCTGCCACGCGTGCGAACCGCAAAGCCAGCGTCTTCCCCCGGGCACAAGACACCCTCATTTTGGCCGTACCTGACCTGAAGTACAGGTTGTATACATTCATTATCAGGGTGCGTTGTGTTCGGGGAAGACGGGTAGCATTGGCAGCTGATCGGCGGGGGCCGTTACAGCGGCAGCTGATGCGCTCGGGCGGGAGAGCGGCAGGTGGAGTGCCCCCTCAGTTTCTTTACACCTTCGATTACGATTACGCCCTCGACGGTTCGAGGACCCGCGTCCCTGTTCTCCCTCTCCTCCCTCCCGTCCCTCTCCTCCCTCTCCTGCTACACCCCGTCCGTCGTGGCCCGTGTGGTTGCCGCGCCTTTTTTTCGGCAGTGGAACCGGGGATGAAAACCGCGCTCCCGGTTGGGCTGCCGCGCTAGGTAGGCTTTGGTAAGGCATGTGATGTGAGAGACGGGGTGTTAGCTGTCAATCAATCAACCAATCTATCTATCAATCAAGCGAAGCAATCGATCAAAGTAACCACGATTGCTGGACCAGACCACGGGCATCGAGGATCTGCCGCTCGGCTGGAGCGCCATTACACTATTCGAGAGCATTTTGAGGGCCTGCGCGCGTAGGTGAGGGGCGCGCGCGCGCAGGCGCGCGACTGGCAGAAGCCATGGCGACCATGGAGCTCTTCCGGTCGGAGGCGATGCAGCTTGTCCAGCTCATCGTGCCCGCCGAATCGGCTCATGATACAATCTCCTACTTGGGCGAGATCGGCCTTCTGCAATTCAGAGATGTAAGTGATAACATCGAACTCTCGTGTTGTCTCCGTACACACACACACACACACACACACACACACTTGAGAGAGAGAGAGAGAGAGAGAGAGAG